GAACTATAGGTCCCTTTTCATGCATTATGTTTGGCTAGGTTAGAGGTTCCACTTAATTGGCAGACATCTCCTTCAGTCATAGGTTCTGAGGTTATTTCTCTTGCTATGATGTAAGCCCTTAGCTCTTCAGATTTCCTACAATCTAATATCATTGGTTATTAGTTCTAAGTTTGTAATAAAATAATCAACTCAACTTAAATAAATGTTTCAATTTTAAAATCATTAAACCCTAATATTAGGCAGATAGAAGTGATAATGAGTTTCTCAATTTCTAAGAACTTCATATTTTTACTCCTTTTGACTCAAAAAATAATTTTTTCAGTTTGAACTATCATAATTCAAATCCTAAATAATAATTCTAAAGACTCAATTTTAAAATTTTTGAAGACTTGGCTACACCCTTAATTGAAAGTTTTATTAGAAGATTCTATCTCCTATGATATAATTAACTATAAAGGCTTGTAATTATGAAATGCCAAATAAATATAAACTATATCTAACCTCTAAGTTAGGTAGGGAAAAGATTTGTTTGTTAACACTCACAAATCAAATTTGAATGAAAATCCTTATTTGATTGTTTGAATTTGTTTTAGAGTGATATTTCTATCTTTCAATATAGTAATTTACTCTCAATGTCATATTTGATCACCTAAAATAAATAAATATATTCAAAATCAATGCAGTCATAAAAATAAACCAACAAACTCTGGCTAACTTGAGCAAAGATGTTGACTGATCTGTTAACCCAAGCATTTTTAGCTCTTAATGTTTGAAGAAAAAGCGTTCATGTCGCCAAGTAGAAGCTCCCCAGTGTAGAAATCGACTCAATTTGCTCTCTGCAAGACAATCTCACATTTCTTCTTTTATCTATTTTAATTATGAACTTAGAGAAGTAAATAACTCTAGGAGCTCTAACAGCATAGGATAAAACCTTTAGGGAGTCTTCTTAAACCTTTTTAGTGGGTTAGATATGGGTTTGGCACATTGGAATCATGTTAGAACATATGAATAGCTCATATTCTCTAGTGAGAGGGAGAAGTGGTATTCAAGGTCATCCATTTTCACAATTTAAAATGGCTTGAATTGATTACGTCAAGTAGTAAATTGTCTTTTCTATAATTTGAACTATAGAATCAATAATTGACATTTGATATCCGATCAAATGACTAAACTCAAATCTCTTCTTGTGTTTTGTATCCCTTGAAAATGCACTGGCCAATCTAATGTCACTGTGTGTAAACTTTATTGTGTTAGTGTTTGATATGATGCAGACAAGCATTACATTTATTGAAAAAAATAAAACCATTTCAAATAAACAAAAAATTAAGAAATCATATAAATTTATTAAAATTTTGAAAAATATATTAATAATAGTCAAAATTCATCAAATAGCTTCTAAAACCTCCTCTTGTTCATTAAGGTTACCAAGGATTACGGGGGGACTACAATAAAATAAAGAAATACATGCCGGTTAATTCTAACTAATTAACACACTCATCTAATAATATAACTTATCTAAATAATTAACGTTAAGTATATAAAGTCATAAAAATTAACTTAAAATATTTCTTCAAAAAATATCTTAGCCGAGTAAAATCAACTTAATCATCAGTTTATTAAAATTAAATTTTTGATCAAAACTCTTTATTAATATATATATATATATACATCTCTACATAGAGTAGGTTAATAAAATACAGATTACAAAATTTTATGAAAATTTCTATCATTCCCAAGATGACCTCCAAATTCAAAATCATATATTTAAAATAAAATCACAAATTAATTATAAATTAAAATTTTAAGGAAATATAATATAAATAAAAAAAAGAAAACATAAAAAAATATTGGAATTAATTGATTAGATGAATAAATTATAAAAAAATAATTATTAATCACAAGGGATTAAAAATATTATGGGGATACCAAGAGGCATCCCTTAAATCACTTTGAGCTTTTCAATATTTTTTAAATTAATATACTATTCAATTAAGTTTTTTAGTTATATTAAACATTATATAGTTCATTAAAAAAACTAAATTAATTCAAAACATTCCCAAAGTTTTATGAAGAGGTTTTGTGGCATCTCTTAACCTAAAGGATAATTTTCAAATTAAAACATTAATCACTAGTCACATATGTTAGATTGCTTGTTAGTCAACAAAACTAAATTTATATTTGGATTATTATAATTATTTGGTGAGTTATTATTGAAGTTTGTGTGTAACTAGTGTCATTTTGCTCACTAGATTGGATAACAAGCTAATTGATTGCTTTTTAGAATGGATGCTAGGGCATTTTTATTGTAGTTCTACCTCTTATCTTTAATAAGTGGTAATGCATAACGAGGTAAAATGCCTAAAAAAATTAAATTAAATATAAAAAAAATTGACATGTCAGCATTACATGATCATGCTTATTCTCTAAACATAACTAATTACAACGGGTAGCTTGCCACATGTTTGTGTTAAGTCAATTGTGTTATATCTTAGCTAGATTGTGTGATTATATACCTACTAACCTCTATTTTACAAGCTTATCTTGGGACAATTTTCAGAATTTTAAATATAATTTAAATTAAAACTGGGTGTACGGTCTACATTGTTTAGGATGAATAAAGAGGTATTGTTTAGTCTAATGGTACCTTGTGAAGTTTGGAGGATATGTGTTAAAATGAATAAATGAATCCAAGATGAACCAGTTTGATGAAACAATACTAGAGGACCAAGAAAACTCCTATGCAAGCCATTATTCTAAAATTGGTTATATAAGGGCAGAGTTGAATTGTTACTTTCCCTTTTCTTTCGGGATGTAGAATGATACTCGATCACACCAACTATATATTTTATTTTATTTTATTTTTTATGTTTATATTTTGTGTGTTCACTTTTATGTGCATATTAGGTATACTTACTTTTCCTAGGTTTATTTTTGTGTTTCTTGTTCATGTAAGGAATTATATTACGACATTAGACTATTATAATAAAATAATTTGTTTGCCCAACCAAAAATTAACACCTCCTAGGAAAGCAGCTGACAAATATAAATTAGGTACCATAAAATTAGCTAAATCATTTACACTTACATATTTATATTCTCCATTCCTTGATATTTCACTTATTGCCCTTATTGGATAAGTCTACATAAAAATTTGATTTGGCTTGAAATTTTGACTAATAGTGCATGCATACTTGCAATAAATTATATATCATAACTTAGAAAAAAGTCAAATCTCTTATAATAAATAAAAATCTTAATTTTGTTGCAATAATTAGATTCAATATTTATAAGTTCGAGCATAAGTCCTGCTCAATTCTCCTAAAATTCAACAATTCTCCTAAATTTCAACAATAAGGCTTCCCCCATCTACTTGCATTTAACTAGACTTGTAGACTTGAAATATATTTCAATTAGTTGCCTACCCTTTATAGATAAGAACATACATTTAGAAGAGTGGGGCCCATTTTTGCTCCCCGTGGGATGTGAGATCTACAAGTCCCAATTTACCCTTGCAAACCAGGTTCGAGCTTCTTGTTTCTTCTCATGACAACACAAGTCATGATAATTTCTGCGTATCTCTGATCTGGTGACATGAGCGTCATAAGCTCAAACAATCTAATAAAATGAATAATTTAAAACTAAAATTAAATCATAATCTAAAAATATAAAGTCCAACCATATAATAATTTGAAGTACGATCGAGCCGCTCACTATCCAATTCTTCCTACTACTCCTCTTTTTGCCTCCAAAAAATAAGTATTCTTCATTCGAGCCAATCCCAATAAAATTTCAACTGGAAGTTCATGAAATTCAATTTCTAAAATATATAAACCACAAGTGTCAATATTTTAATTGAGGTTTTTCTAAATAACTATATTATTCAGAAAATCAGCATCAAGTAATTAAATAAACTCCACCGACCCAAATTGCGCAGGAAATAGACCTCCTCCAAAATTATTATTCTGTGGTTAAATTTTTTCTTAGATAATATTTTCACCCCTTGAGATGATCTAAAACGCTCAAAGTCAAATCCAACTATAAAATAACAATAAATTAACCACTTAAATTGTTTAATTTTGAAGAAAAATGAATCATTATAAATTATATAATTTATTCCTATTGAAACCACACAGCCACTTGGAAGAATCGAGTACCTCGATTAATGAGAAAGACGGTTACCAGAACTATATTATAATCCCATATGCCCCGTGATTTAACTTCAGCCGTTCCAATTTGAAATATAAATACTATCATACATTATTTTAGCAACCAAATTTTATAAACACACCAGAGTTTAGAGAAAAATTTGCGTAAGCGGAGGTTATTGAGAGGGTATTGAGAAGAAAATATTACATCAGGACTCCGCACTTTGAGTTACGTGCGGAGTCCAATGAAATTACATCGTGGAGGTGATCGGGCCGGTAACACAAGAGAATATTTCTCTCGAGTTATTCAGGTGTTATTGTGTGTTATTCAGTGTTATTGTGTTCTGGGATATTTCTGATGTTATAATAACACAATAACACATCAATAATACTTGAATAACACACAATAACACCTGAATAACACACAATAACACCTAAATAACACGAGGAGAATATTCCTGTGTTACCGGACCAATCACCTCCACGGCGTAATTTCATTGGACTCTGCACGTAACTCTATGTGGAGAGTCCTGATGTAATATTTTTCGAGTATTGGGAGGTTATAGATAGGTTACACCTTCTGTAACATCTGTGTAACCTATTATAATCCTCAAATATCCTCTGAATAATCTCAGACATACATAACTCTGCGTACGTAATTTTTCTTCTAGAATTTAAGCTCAATTATTTATTAACTGATTCGCTCTATTTGAAAAAAAAAAAACGGTGCAATCAATGAACTATTTATAACATACCAAGAATCTAAAGGCCGGATTCGAGCGCTATGACGCACGAGCAGAGGACAAGGCTCCACAGTCCACTGTTGTTAAAGGCTACAGAGGCCGCTACACAACTGTCCCACTACTCCAATCGCTACTTTCTAGAAGCGCACTGTCAAAATGTAGCGACTATTCCATTGCGACTCCTCCCGATATTCAAATGCTTCCCCACCAAGAAATACGCGTCCTTTATAAGCCCTTCCGTTCCTCACCCGCTTTCAATTTCACTGGATTCTCCGGTGAATCATGACCGACCAATCTGATCCTCATCTTCTTTCTTCCTCGCCGCCGCCGACGCCAACGCCGACGATCGAACTTCGCGACCTGACGGCTGTTTCTGTACTCGGGCGTGGAGCAAAGGGTGTCGTCTTCTACATTTACGGGGCCTCCCCCGACCATGGCCTCGCTCTCAAGGTTATTTCAAGACCATCCATCGAACACAAGAGCCCCGTCTCCATCTCCGCCGCAGGAAGCAACTCTGAAAGTGCGTATCGTCGGATCTACTTTGAGCGTGACGTGCTGCGCGCTCTCCATCATCCCCTCCTCCCCTCCCTCCGCGGCGTTGTTTCCACAGAGAAGATTGTCGGATTCGCCCTCGATTACTGCCCTGGCAGCGATCTCAACGCGCTTCGCCGGCGGCAGACGGAGAAGATGTTCTCCGATGGGATCATCCGGTGATTTAGTCCTTCCAATTCCATTCTGTTGAAATTCCCAGAGATCATTATATTTTCCCCTAATTTTATAATAATTTTTTTTTATATATATAGATTCTACGCGGCGGAATTGGTGCTAGCACTGGAGCATCTCCACGGGTTAGGGATTGTGTACCGAGATCTGAAGCCCGAGAACGTTCTGATTCAGGAAAACGGTCACATAATGCTCGTCGATTTCGACCTCTCAACCAAGCTTCCATTCTCCAAATCGCCGCCCGAAATCCTCCGCCCAGAACCCGCTTCGGCTCAGAAGAAATCGAAGAGCCGGTCTCTTTTCGGATGCTTCTCTGGTATTTCCAACGTCTCTCCGGAGACTCTCGACTCGGATTACTCGCAGGAGCAAGTAAAGTCAAATTCGTTTGTCGGAACGGAGGATTACGTGGCCCCAGAGATCATCGAGGGTAAGGGTCATGACTTCGCCGTCGACTGGTGGTGCCTTGGTGTGGTACTCTACGAGATGCTCTACGGCCGGACGCCTTTCAGGGGGAGTAATCGGAAAGAGACGTTCTACCGCATCCTGACGAAGTCGCCGGAGCTCTTCGGCGAGAGGACAGCGCTTAGGGATTTGATCGGACGGCTTCTAGAGAAGGATCCGGTGAAAAGAATCAACGGCGAGGAGATACGTCGGCATGAGTTCTTCTTCGGAGTGGAATGGAAGTCGGTAGCGGAAATCGGGCGGCCACCATTTATTCCGGCGGGGGATGAACGGAAGGAATGCGGCGAGGGATTGGACATTGAGAAGATTGTGGAGGAGATTTGGTGGAGTTCACGTGAGGGAAACGGGAAGGCGGTGGAGGAAAATTACGTGGCGGAAGCGAGGAATGCTTCTAGAAATGGTGACTTTGACGGCTTTTGATTTTTGATGAATTTTAGGAAGTGGGACGCACTCATTGCTCGTTATTGGGAGAGGACTCCGATTTTACTTGGGGTCATGGAGCGCAGGTTTTATCTTAACCTATGCATTGAATTTGTCATTAAAATTGTTAAAATATAATTAAAAATAATTGAAATGTACATTTAAATGTGAGTTCACTTGTGTATTTATTTTTTGTTTATTATTATTATTAGCATGTGCCGTTGCATACATAATAAATATGATCGGTCATTCTAGAATTTTTCTAATGGAGCGATGCTTGCAAGAGGATTTATAGCCCATTTCTCGAAGAAAATATTTTTTACTTTACCATTATTGATTCTTGTTTTTGCTATCCTCCACTGATAATAGCTGTGTTTCTGGATACATTTCCTGCATTAAAATTTCCCATAAAACAGGGAGGAAATTTTAATGCAGGAAATGTTTTTTCATTTTTTTTAATATTGAGGGAATATAATACTAGGCAGAATAACATAAAAGAATACCTGCATTGTGCATAATAAATGTGTCAGCATGAATCTTGAGGCAATTCGACAGCTCGGTGGCTTTGAAGTAGACTTTTAAACCAACTTAATGATTCAAGCCCAAATAATCATCTATGCCAAATGGCTTAAAGTTATACTTAGACTGCATGAATTTCTCTAAAGGGAATTTAGGATTGACGACTGGCAAAGTGCATCCGGTCGGCCAATATTAATCGACCAGATCTGTCTGGACAATTATTATCAATAGTCCAACCCTGTCTTGAGTTGAATGATCAACCGACTGTTGGTTCTCATTCAACAAGCCGACCGATAGCACTATTTACTCCACCTCTTCAGCGTCAATTGATCGAGCCAAATGATAGCAAGGCTCTAGGTTCATAGGGGCATAATTCCAAGATTAACCTGTAGAACTCTCTTTAAAGCAAGGTTAGAAATGTAATTTTCTTTTTTCTATAAATAGAAGTGTTTTCATGCTATAGAATTTTTGGTTCCTCTCTCTCTCCATGTACCAAAAATATACAATTATCTAAAAAGGGTCACAAGGTCCAAATAATTTCCTAATTTTTCCCCAAAGGGGCAAGCCATTGTGCACTCCCTTCTTCTCTCTGTCTCTCTCTCCCTCTCTCTTTCTCTCCTTTTTTACTTGGTTCAAAGGCTTGATTCCCTTAGGTGTGTCGATTTATTAGAGCACTCTGCTTTCTCTCTCTTTCTCTCTTCCTTCTATTCTAAGTTCTATCCATTGGGCGTGATTCAAATTACAATCTCGGATTCAACATCCTAAAATGTGCGATAAGCTTTGTTAACAAGAAAAAGAACAAAACTAAGCAGAAAAAAACCATCACAGTGACACTCCTAGCATATAGTGCGTGAAAGAGTTTACGCAGAAGTAGATCCAGTAGTAGAAAATCACATTTTTGTCATTTTTCAAGAGGATTGTTGGAATAAATTTTTGATGTCAAAAGTGTAGGATGTTTGCTCGAACACTATGAAACCTTGTTTGATGCATGTGTTGATTCCCTTAGTCTTAGACGTCCATTTAATACCCTCTGATGCTTATGGAAGAGCACAAGATCGATGTCATTGTGCTAGAATTTGGTTTTCGCTTAGACCAAGGCCGACCTACATTTTGTCTGTCGGACAGCTTCAACCGGACCAATGGTTCTGATTTGATGCAAGACATGTGAATCGAGCCCAAATTGGCTTGATCATCAGCGAGTTTGTCCTGATGACCTTCAATTGCGATAAGGACAACACAAGGGTGTCCATAACGTCAATTTTGCCTAAGGAGGCACTCATAATGTTGGTGGGTTCCGTGTATAATCTGAGTGCACACAAATTATAACAAAAAATTTAAATCTAAAACAAAAGGGTTTTCAAATATAAAGAATATATATATAGAAAGGAAGCTTTTCTACATTTTCCCCATGCCCTAAGGGGCCTCCTCTTTTTTTTTCACGAATCAGCTAACGCACGTAGCCCCCTCCTTTGACTTTGTCGCGCCTACCTGTTTGTGATGCACCCCGGGAGGCTTAGCACTGACATTGCCACTCCTGCCAGTTTCTTCCCCACGAGCTCCTCCTCTCTCAGTCAGTCCCTTTCACGCAAGGCCCTAGCCGCACATGCTACTCTTCTATCATGCTCCGTCTGAAACCCTTGCTCTTCGGCATCACTCAGGACCTGCTTGGCTTGCTCCTTAGTGACCCTTACTGTTTGCTGACCTCCCCTAATCTAATAAGTAGAGCTTTTCCCTCCTTTTCAAGCAAAAAGGGGCTACATGCCCTAATCTCATGTGGCACCTCTTGACACGATCCCCTTGCCGATGGCCTCCCCTTGATGTTGGATTCCCCTCACCGACGGGCTTGTCTCAATAGTGTCACTCCTCCACGTCAGTTGATGCGCCCTTAGCGCATGTTGTTTTTCTGTGTGTTTTATGTCAATTCAATTCCCCTTAAACGGTGCCAAAAACTTGACCCAACCCATAATTACGCAGTAATTTAGCTTTCAAAAGATGACAAAAAACTTGACCTAATTTATATTTAGTAGCTAATATACAAAATTGAAATATTATGAAATATAACAAATTGTTCACACACTATGGGTTCTACGCAAGTGCACATATCACTTCAAGTAATATAAGAGTTTATGATTAAGCCCCAAATATTGATCCCACGAGGAAGCAAGGAAAGGTGTCCTCAGTCAAATTCCAGTCTACTACTATTAGTCCTTAGTTTGGAATGTCAATTAAAATGGTGTTTTATCCAACAACTACTCATAAATGCGAATTTTAAATGTAAGGATAGTAACTATTACTAAATGTAAATATTAATTCTAAAGATAACCCTTTTTGGATGAGTTGGTTTGGAGAATTTTAATATGTTAAAACTTACTATTCCTATCTAGCGAATTGGATAATGTAAAGGAATGAGATACATTAATTATTGTATAAGCCAAATAGGAGCAATTTTAATTCTCAACCCTGATTCAATGTTATAGAAAATCATTGGATAATTTTAGTTTTAGTCCCTAAATCCGTGAATAGGCTAGGAGGATACTGACTCCCACTCCAGAGCTCCCACTTCTTTTCCCCTAAAGGCTAACTCTAGCTTTAGTTTTTAAACATTAAGATCAAATTTGGGATTTTTAGTCTGTCACCGTAAGAATCTCCAATTCTACACCCAACAAAGTATATTCCCTATTTATTTACACTTAATCCCATGAACGAAATTCTCCTTCATGGAATCAAATGTGATCCTCACTCTGTTGGCTCACTCTGTTGTAGAACTCATACTCCATTCTCGGATCATATGTTTCACAACATATTTTAACAATTCAATTGGTCAGATCAAAAAAGAAATTAAGAGTGGAGTTGAAAAACCATTACAATTTATAATTAAAACTTCTTCTAGCATGCAACCCAGTATCCTAAACATGAATCGTACTCATTACAAATGAAAAATAAAAGGAAAATAATGGCATAATCTTCTCATGCCACAATTTTCAAAAAAAGAAGAATGAGTAAGAGAAACACATCATAAAGCACGAATAAAACACAACGAAAAATTTCATTAAATCAAAGAAAATCTACTAGATAAGTGTTTACAAAATCATAAAATAATGAAGAACACAATACTTAGCTTTTTCCCCTTGAAAGAAAGATGAAAATCTCTCCCACAAAGTCTCCCGCTGATTCATGCAATGTTAGAACATTTCCTTACAGATTATCTCAAAATCCCCTCACCAATCTCGCCAAAAAGGTAGAAATCTATATTTCAACACGTATTCTAAGTCTCTAAACATTCTCCACATTTTTCTACTCACACACCTTTTTTTTGACATAAAAGTACTCTATTATAGTGTAGGGACAAATTTCTCAAGAGTTGCCTCAAGCAACATTCCAAAAGCGTCCAAATACATTGAATCTTGTAGAAATTTGCCCAGGATCGCTTCCAAACCATCTCGGGTGCTAAGTGCACCGTTCTGGTGTCGTTTTCTGCACTCTGGCGCCGTCGGCGCCAGTTCTAGTGCCGTCGGCGCCCACCCTGCGCAACTCCATCATTTTTATTTGTTTGGGTTCGTTTTAGCTCCGTTTCAGTTGCGTTGCGTTCCTAACTGATAGACCTACAAAATAAGCATAAAAAACTTTCTTTAAAGTATAATTTCATTAAAAAAACGTGTGAGAAGTGTAAAAGAGATTAAGCATAGAAAGACATATCGAAATGTGCCAGGACAAAATTTTCTTTTTTGCTCGTTTTTGCTCATTTTTGGTCCAAATTACACTATTTTTGCTTTTTTTCTCCAAAACTCCATTACTTGTCCCTGAAACCAAAAATTTACAAAATACCTTCCTTTAAAGTGCAATATCTTTGAAAATCACCAAATATATGCATTAAAAGCATATGAAAAATTGAACATTTTTTAGGCGTATCAAAATCCCCCAAACTTAAATGTTACTTGTCCTCAAGTAACACTCTTACTACATACAAATATGAGTTATGGTACATAGTTTAACTTCTAAATTTCTATAATTTGGTCCACTAAATATAATAGCATAACTTAAGAAATATTTTTTTAACAACTTAAGTCAAAACTAAAAGTATAAGAACATCTAGTAGTCAAGTCTAAGATTTCTGATTCTCTATTCATTTCAAGAAGAATTGTAATTTTTCATGTTAAATTTACTTAGAATATCCATATGAAAAAGAACTTCATGAAATTTTTATTAGTAAGGATACTAAAACTCAAATACAAGTTTAAAAAATGTAATAAAGCCTTCTTCCCCAAGTTGATTCAAGTGAAGCCAATTTTTGATTGGGCATCTCCTCAAGCTTATCCTCACATACTTTTTTTTTTCTTTTTCTTTTCTTTTTTTTTCTTTTAGGATTATTTTTTAATCCTTTTTATGTGAGAATTACTATATCTGGGTAGCTTTTAATAATTTAACTTCACTATCCTCTTCTTGAAGTTAAAAACTTTTCAAATTCTTTCACTTTATAAATTCACATTAGTTTTGAAGATTTTTAATAAAGCCTCATTCTTTTCTTCTTATATGAAACTCTAAGATTCTTAATACTTCAAAAATAAAATTTCCTTTACTTTAAATAGAAAAGCATAGTTTTACTCTTTCGTACCAAATATCTTAACTCTAGAATCAACTTTCATTATTGAAAACTTTTACTTAAGTCTACTATATATTTAGAAACATAAATATAGTTATCAAAAGTTAGCCTCTAATACCAA